TTGGTGTCTCTTTGGTTTTTCACAAACAAGTTGAGGCTCAAGGAAATGGGGACAAATCCACTTGAGGACGCTTTTGAGAAGTTCTGTGCAGGAGTGAGCATATATGGTCCTTTTTGGGATCATATGTTAGGTTACTGGAAGGAAAGCTTAAACAATCCCCAAAAAGTATTCTTTCTGAAATATGAAGAAATGAAAGAGCAGCCAGAGCTTCATTTGAAGAAACTTGCAGACTTTTTAGGGTGCTCATTTTCATCCAAGGAAGAGGAAGAAAGAACGGTGGATGAAATTTTAGAGATTTGTAGCTTTGATAACTTGAGTAATCTGAAAGTGAACAAGGAAGGAAAGCTTCCATCTGGGGAGGATTTCAGTGCATTTTTCCGAAAAGGTGAAGTTGGAGACTGGAAAAACCATCTGACTCCAGAAATGGTTGAGCGTCTTGACAACATCTGTGAAGAAAAGTTCCAAGGATCAGGGTTGAAATTTTAACTTGCATGAAATGGTATTTGTAAGAGCTGTAATCAGGGGTATCTACTTCAATATTAAGATAAGTAAGCATCGAATAAAGGTTATATTTGCGTAAACGATGTATTTATGATGATGATATAATATAATTACGAAGTAATATGATGATTATTACTAAGGTTTATCGATACAGTTTATTGATATACAATATTAATTACGTGAAATTAGTACATGTGTTATTTAACTATACATCATGTGAGATTAAAGAGACGACATCGATCGTTGATCTCAGAAAGTTAAAGGTGATTACAATGATGTATCAATTTTATCACTTTGTGATTCGGTCGTATATGATGTATTGTCTTCAACTAAAATAATTAAGGATCGGTATGTTAAGTTTTATTTGAAGGGTGTTTCGAACTATGTCTGTACTAATCCCGATAAATTGTTGCTATCAAAAATCAGTCATGTAGTTAAAAATCTTGAATAATCACCGTATTTAAAGATGATAGATTTTTCTAACAATATTGAGTACTAGAAAAAATATATTGGTATGCGATAGATATATGAGTTATGATGTCATACCCCTCTTTTCTTAAGTGATATTTTCACCATAATTTGTTTGAGTATCACGAAATTCACTCGATAATACTCTCAAATTTTTCAGTCCAGATTTTATCAGTAGTTGTTCATTTTCGAACCCAGACAATCGTAAGTGTTACTATGTTAATGGTGAGAATAACTCTCTATTGAATGAAAATGATTGTTTGAAGTAAATACTGAAAAAGAGCGCTAAGAGTCATAGATTTCAGATCTTTTGAGGTGTTCAGACACATTGAATAAGTGGTATCAAAKCAATGTTTTTAAAGATTCTTAGTGTCTTCCATACTTTGTTTTTAAAGATTCTTAGTGCTCTTTAGTTTCAAAGTAAGATTGTTTAGATTATGTTCTATACCTTTTTCTTATTCCACCAAAAGTATGTAAATTCAAGTGTATTTATTCTTCTTTTATTGATTTAGAAGAAGAATCAATACATTTGAATTTACAGACTCTTGGCGGAATAAGAAAAGGTATAAAACATAATCTAAACAATTGTAGTACTCAACGAGCACTAAAAAGACTCAATCGCTAGTAGTTTTCAGTTAGAACTTCACAAAGTAACCAAGTATAAGCGACCATCATCAAATCACTAAGGGGCCGTTTACCAAACACTTACCTGCGTAAGCGCTTACCAAGTCATGTTACCTCACCGGATGAATATGATAAGGACTAAGAATCTTATCCGATAAGAGCGATACAATGACCATGAGTCTTACCCGGTAAGTAAGGGCGACAACTCTTACCACAGTAAGCGCTTACCGGATGAATTGTTGCATACAATGTCGTTTTGATAGACTAAAATCTTATCCGGTAAGTAAGTAACAGTGTTAAATTTTACCGGTAAGTATTTACCGGGTAAGTATTTGGTAAACGGATCCTAAGAGTTTTAGTATAACACGTTGAATCATGCTTTGAATATACCAATCACGAAACATTTTCCATTGACGAGGTAAAAATTCTTGGGATTCTCGTTTAATTGTACTAAACAACACAATATTTTAATGCTTTTCATAGTTGAAATATTAAGGTGGTTAGTTAATTTGCATTAATGTTATTTAATTATTTAAGTCATTCATGTTGTATGTAATTATTTTTTATTTCTAAACATTTATATTGATGTTGTTTTTATTTCTCATTAAATTTAAACCTATACATATAAAAATAGGTTCATACGAAAATAATATATATTTAAAAAAGTAAGAAAATAACCAAATTACGTATAAAATCACATGTGATTTTATATTAATGGGAAAACAAGGGGGCGTACAGGCAACTTTGGTTGCGACCTCATATCGCGGGGCAAAGTCGTGTGAATCACTTGTGATTTTCTACGTGAGGTTAGTATAAAATCACATTTGATTCGACCATTTTATTATTTTTCTTAAATATGTATCATTATCATATGAACTTGACTATATATATATATATATATATATATATATATATTAGAAGCGTACTCGCGCAATGCAAGATACATCGTGATTTTAATATTTCATTTTATTCTTTATCTCAGTCGATGTTATAATATAGTTTTATGTGATTTTGAGAAAACGATTATGTTTTTATTTTTGAATAAAATATATGTTTGAAGATATCATAAAAATTTGAAAAAAATATATCGATATTAGTATCAAATTAACTATTTGAAATTCATTATTTTTTTGTGTAATTTTTTAATTCAATTTTTTTATAATTTAATTTATGTACAATAACGAAATAATTTATATTTGGTTTAATAATATAATTTTTTATAAAGATAATCATTAATTATTTTGTTAGAACTCGGTAATTATTCTAATTATATTTTAGATTTTTTATATTTTAAAATAAGATGTTCATCCTCTATTTGATTATGTTTATCCGCAGTTATTTATACGAATTCAAACATCGAGCTTTAATAAGTTGTACTTATRCATAATTACTTRTAATMTTGAATTTTAAGTAATATGSATCAATATACAGTAYTTTATGCATAACAAAAATATATCGATATTCGTATCAAATTAACTATTTAAAATTTCTCATTTTTTGTGTAATTTTTTAATTCAATTTTTTTATTATAATTTAATTTATGTACAATAACGAATTAATTTATATTTGGTTTAATAATATAATTTCCTTATAAAGATAATCATTAATTATTTTGTTAGAACTCGGTAATTATTCTAATTATATTTTAGATTTTTTATATTTTAAATAAGATGTTTATCCTTTATTTGATTATATTTATCCGCAATTAGTTATACGAATTCAAAAATCGAGCTTTGATAAGTTGTACTCTTGAATAATTTACTTGTAATCTTGAATATTAAGTAAACATTGGTTTTATGTGGTTTTGAGAAAGTGGTAATATTTTTATTTTTTAACAAAATATAAATTTAAAAATATCATAAAATTTTGAAAAAAATATTGATATAAATAATTGCGGATAAAACCATATAAGTAAGCGATAATGTTGAATTTTACCAGTAAAGGCTTACTGGATAAGTGTTCAGGTAAACGGCCCTTTAAAGCAACTAGTTAATAAAACAAACATTATAATTTGTAATTGAATTGACTTGTTTATTACATCAACCACTATGGAGTATATATACACAATTTGAGAAATAGAAACTCCATCCTAGAGATTACAAAAATAATTACAAGAAATGAGAACTGGAATAGAGATAAGAATTGGGAATAGATCTAAGGGGTATGACTTTGATGATCAAGAGATGTAGTTTGATGTATCTCTATCATGCCTCTGCAAGATGGACGATCGATTAGTGAGGCCAATCTTGGGCATGAGCTCAATGATCTGTGTTCGAGCAAGAGGCTTAATAAGAGAATCGGCAAGCTAATCATTGCCAGCAATGTATGACATACGAAGTTGTGGGTTTTGAACATTTACATAAACAAAATGAGGTCAAGTGCCAAGTTTTCCTTTCGGAATGGAATTTTGTATTTACGGCAACATATGTAGTTCCCATGTTGTCACAATAGATGAATGGTTTGTTTATTGGCATATGTCCCAACTCATGGGGTAAGTTTTGGACCCACAAGACCTCGACAGTACTTGTAGCATTGGCTCGGTACTCGGCTTCGGTTGACGATTGAGCAAGGGTTCATTGTTTATGAGAACACCAAAAGATAGGATTTTCGACCTAAATAAACAATATAGCCAGTTGTAGGAATACAGTTTGATACGCACTTTATGTTTAGTGTTTAAACACTCATTTCTTTACTTATAACTAGGCTATTTTCCCTTTATATCTCAAACTGATTCTTTTATTATCTTATTTTCTATTTATTTGTTTTATGGAGCTACAGTGGTGATTAATTTGAAATAAGGCTATAGAGTGCGAATTTCACCTTATGGACAGGCTGTTTATGCTTCCGGCATTACCAGAGCATTGGATCTACACGTTTATGTGGCTTTTGGGAGGGGTTATTGCATTCAACCACGGATCTGCTTTAGAACCAGACGTTTTCTAACTTCGAGATCAAGTTCCTCCGACTTTTTGAAGGCAAAATAGTTGTTGTACTTCTAGTTTTAATTTGATTAATTTAGTTAGCCTTTATATACTTTTTGTTGACTTTTGGTAAACTTTGGTCGTGCCCCTCTAGTCTTGGTATAAATAGAAGTGTTGGGGTTTAGGTTTGTTATCCAATCAACTCTAATTTATTTGTGATTTACATTTTGAAGTAATTTAAGTTTATGCTCTCTGGTTTTAATTTATAAATTCTCGTAATTTCTTGAGCCTTGTTCTTCAATTTTTCATTGGTTCTTTACTTTATTACGCTTACTGTCTTTACATTCCATCACTAACTTTTAACATTTAATTTCCATCATTACTTTTTAGGTACTTACTTTTTGTTATTCACATTTCCTTGCAATTTACTTTCGTTACGAGTAGCTAAATCTTTTAGCTTGGGTGTGAAACAATTGGTGAGATTTTAAACCAAACCAAAGCGGAAATTATTTTGCAATAATGATGTTTCACTATTTCATTTCAAGTTTTATAAAATCAAAGACAATTCTTGACGAGTTGTTTACTTTGAAACAAGTTAAAGTGTCGTGGTCTTAGGAATAAACTACTTGAATGCACATCAATCTGAATGATATGGGAAGTAGACTCGAAAGAGTTGCTAACAAATGAATTTGTTATCTATGTTTTTCAATTTGATTAGTTTTCGACAAGTTAGTCACTTATCAAAGTATTAAAGTGCAGTGATCTCAGGAATGAGTCACTTGGAACACATCAACTTAAATGATATGAGAATCGGCTCAGAAAAGTAATTTTAAGCAAAAGAATTTGTTAATACATATATTTTTAGGACACGTTTTTACACTATCGTTGGTTATGATACCACATAGGAATATGTTAGTTAAAAGCTAAACATTAGTGCAATGGTAGAAGTCTGGAAGAATGTTCCTTAAAATAGATGGTGAAACTAGTTATTGCCAACTGCTTGTCGTAACATTCGCACAACCTTATTTGCTGGAATTTGTGTTCATGTCTTCACCACAAGTCTTACACTCATGCTTCTTTCTTTCTCTTGTTATTTCCAGCAGTGTTAACTCAACCCAAAGCAATTTCTTCATATTTGTCATTTGAAGTTAGTTTTTCACCTCGAGATCTTGCAACTTAAGATATCTATTTTTCTTAAGCAATTTCTTTCATTTGTTCTTACCATTTCATTACTTGAAAGACGATAGTGTTGACATGTGTACACTTGCATGTGTTACTACTTACTGTTCTTGAGATTCAATGTCTAAACGCATCAAGTTTTTGGCCACGTTGCCAGGGATGTCTTAATCTATAGTTGTTGAGAGTTCCATGTGGTGTGTATTGGACTCGATAAGAGAATAATAATCCATTATATGTAGTATGTGGTAAATATAAATATTTTACATATATATAAAACTCAATATTTAAAAAAGAAAAAAAAAAACAAATAAGACATTTTTAAAAAGAAATCGGTCCCAAATCGGTCACAAACGATTTCTTATAGTAAAAAATATTTAAGAAATTTGTATTACTGGCGAACCATCATTTGTCATAATACAAGCCTTTTAAATATATTCTTTTTAATTTTTTTCAAAAAAAGTTATTATTGAGGGATAGTAATCAATTTAATATATATTTATAAATAAAAGGAAAAGGGAAAATTAATATTTTTTATTATTGGCGGATTATGAGTACCGTCGGTGATAATTACTTTTCAAGAAATTTTAAAAAATTAAAAAAAAATTATTATTAGTGGATTATCATCGATCACTATCATACAGATAATTCGTGGATATTAATTTTTATTTTAATTCTTTATTTTTTAAATGTTTTAGTTACCCATGAATGATGGTCGTAGGATTTTTTTTAATTAATTAAAATTGTCGGTGGATTTTAATTAAAATCCGTCGGTTTTTTTAATTAATTAAAATTAATTATTTTTAAAAATTATTAAATTATTCCACTAGTAATTAATCCATCGAAAAACTGGTCGGAATAAAAGGAATTTCTTTTTTGAAATCATCTGTGACGGATTTGTGTTGGAAGTCAACGGATTGTTGACTTTTTTAATTTCCTTTGCGGAATCCGGCCAAGAAAATAGTAGTAGTGCAAATAAAAGGATCTCACGGATGCATAGTCCATAGCTTGAGCCTTAGGTAGCGTTTGGTTTGTAGAATGTTTTTGGATGAAATGGAATTTATTAAAAGAATTTGATTTTAAAGGAATTGGAATGGAATGTTGTCAGGTTTGATCACCTGTTTGATTGACAGACATTGGAAATGGAATTTGTTAAATAATTGAAATTTGTCTGTTTGGTTCACACAGTGTACCTTCGCATTTGGAATGAAATATTGGTAAATGACCAATGCCCTTTTTTGAAAATTTTAATTTTCTTTAAACAAAAAATACTTTAATAAAATAATTGTTTAATGTGTAACACAATATAAAGTACACAACCCAAATATAACCATAAACCAAAGTTGCTAAATCGATATTAAAATTATCTTAAAATAGCTAATTCTTTATCATCTAAAAATAGCTATTTCGGTGGTGGTCGGGGATGGTCGACTGTGGTTTAGATCGACGGTGGTTCAGATCAGTGGCGATTCGTAGTGGTTCAGATGGCGGTGGTCGGCCGTGGTGGGTAGTGGTCGACGGTGGGTAGTGGTCGGCGGTGGTTCAGATGGAGATGGTCAATCGTGGTTAAGATAAATGGTGGTTCACGTTGGTTCAAATGGCGATGGTGAGCAGTGGTTCAGATCGGTGGTGGTCCATGGTGGTTCAGATCGGTGGTGGTCCGTGGTGGTTCAGATGGCGGTGGTTGGGCATGGTTCAGATCGGTGGTGGTCCGCGGTGGTTCAGATGACGGTGGTTGACAGTGGTTCAGATCGGTGGTGGTCTACGATAATTCAGATGACGATGCTCGGCAGTGGTTCAAATTGGTGGTGGTCTGTGGTGGTTCAGATGGCGATGGTCGGGAGTGGTTCATCGACGATGTTTCAGATCGATGGTGCCCGACAGTGATTCATATCGGCGGTGGTCGGAGGTGGTTCAAATCGATGGTAGTCTGCGATGGTTTAGATGGCGGTGGTTGCCAGTGGTTTAGATCAGTGGTGGTCCGTGGTGGTTCAGATGGCGATGGTCGGAGGTGGTTCAAATTGGTCGTGGCCAGCAGTGATTCAGATCGATGGTGGTCCACGATGGTTCAGATGGTGGTGATCGGCGGTGGTTCAGATCGATAGTGGTTAAAACTAGTGGTGGTTTAGATCGACGGTGCCCGACAGTGGTTCAGATAAGTGGTAGTCGCCGATGGTCGGCAGCGGTTCGGATCGGTGGTGGTGGACGTTGGTTCAGATGACGGTGGTCGGTAGTGGTTCAGATTAACAGTGATCGGAGGTGGTCCACAATGGTCATATTGGGTTTTATAATACTAGGGTATATTGGGTTAAGAAATATTTGTTATATGAAATAAAGAATCTCAATCCATCACAATACCATATAGTTGCTAAGGATTGTTAAATTTTTTTATTTATGATATTTTAATTCTTTTCATGAAAAAAGAATGAAGCAAACAAAAAAAATGAAACTTAATCAATGAAATTAAACATTTCAATTTCATCAGATTTCTTACAGAATTTAAAAAGCCTAAATATTTTAGTTTTTGTATTGACCAAACAAAAATATTAAATAGCGTGGTTTAAGGTAGTACAAGAGTCATAGTCGTGATTGTCCCTCTCTTTTAGCATTTTTTATTTTTTTTAAAGAAAGAATAATATTTTTGTGAAAAAATTGCAAACTTTATTTTCCACCAAATCTTTCGCTAGATTTGCACCTTTGACAACAATTATAAAAAATACAATCGAGAGATTTACATGTTTTTGTAGTTTTGTCTTGTTAAAATTAATTAGGTATTTATTTATTTTATTTTAATGATTTAAAAATTAATTATCCTTTATTTTAATGATTTAGAAATTAATTATCTATTATTTTAATGATTTAAAAATGAAGGAAAATAAGTAATATGAAATTAAACATTAAGCTAATCATCATGTTTTCAAAGGATCCAACATCCAAGGCCATGGCTTATCTACATTATATTATAAATTATTTGGCAAAAAATTTTAAAAACCATTTTTTAGCATGAATTACTACTTATTGATGCATATTACTTAAAATTCAATATTACAAGTGATTTTGCGTAAGTACAACTTATTAAAGCTTCATCTTTAAATTCGTGTAACTAACTGCAGATAAACATAATCAAAATACATTATATAAACATCTCATTTTAAATATAGAAAATCTAAAATATAATTAAGATAGTCATTAAGTTTTTTAACCGAATGTTCAGTTATCATCTTTAATAAAAATTATATTATTAAATCAAAAATAAATTATTTTGTTTTTAGACCTAAATTATATTATAATAAAAAAATTAAATTAAAGAAGTTACACCAAAAAAACGAGAACTATTAAGTAGTTAATTTAATACTAATATCGATTTTATTTTTTTAAAATTTTGTATGTTATCTTTAAATTTATATTTCATTCAAAAATAAAAACATTACCGTTTTCTCAAAACCACATAAAATCGTATTATATCGATAGAGACAAATAATAAAAACTAAACATTAAAATATAGATTTATCTATTGCACGAATACCCTTCTAGTTGTGTATAAACCAATATGATATGTTCCATGCATCTTCAAGGTTCAAACCCTCTTAATCCATCATGGCGATTTCCCAGCATTCTCTTCCCAAATACTTGCAAGATCCTTTGGTGTCCAAAGAATGCAAAGACCTGATGTCCACCTTGTCCAAAAATAGAGGGTGGGTTTTACCTGTTATGTATAATTACCAAGGTTTTTGGCATAGCATTTCACACCTACAAGGAGTCCTTTCGTTTCAAAAACATTTTCCTGCACAAGATACCGATATCTTCGTCGTTACAGCTCCGAAATCAGGCACGACGTGGTTAAAGGCCATCTCTTTCGCTATACTAAACCGAACCAGTTATCCTATCACTTCTGGAGACCACCCTTTGCTAAAAACCAATTCCCATGAACTTGTGCCATTTGTGGAAGACATCTATGCCGATAACCCGAATCCTGACTTCTCTTCGATGCCTCCTCCTAGACTCTTTGCCACTCATGTCTCGCACGTTTCGCTACCTGAATCCGTCCATGTTTCCAAATGTAAGATTGTTTATATGTGCAGGAACCCGAAAGACTTGTTTGTTTCTGCATTTCATTTTACGAACAAGTTGAGGCTGGAACATATGGGGGTCAATTCGATCGAAGAAATGTTTGATTTGTTTTGCAAAGGAGTGTCCCTATATGGTCCTTACTGGGACCAAGTGCTAGGGTATTGGAATGAGAGTCTGCAAAGGCCTAAACAAGTGTTGTTTTTGAAGTATGAGGAGATGAAAGAGCATCCAGGTACTGAGTTGAGAAAACTAGCCGAGTTTTATGGCTGCCCGATTACGCCGAAAGAAGAGGAAGAGGGTATTGTGGATGCCATCTTACGTTTGTGTAGCTTTGAAACTTTGAGCAATCTAGAGGTGAACAAAAACGGAACTCTGACGACTGGCTTATCGAATCAGGCGTATTTCCGCCGAGGTGAGATCGGGGACTGGAAGAATCATTTAACAGCCGAGATGGTGGAACAACTAGACATGATCACTGAAGACAAGTTTCATGGTTCGGGATTAACATTTTGAATGATAATTTCATCCGGGTTTGTTTTAAAAACAACCATCGACTCAAGTTTTATGTGAGCTTTTCAAATTTACAGTTTGAAAGTGATCATGGGACACCTAATAGGTCGATGGTAATAAAACTGTATGTGTGAAATAGTGTTTGGATTTATTTAAATTGTTTGAAGATGTAATAGTCAATATTTGAAAAGGTAATAAAGAGAATGTTGAGTTAAAAAAATGTTGTATTCGAGTTATTGTGCTTAAACTGTTTTGATGTACTTTGTAAGGTTGTTTGTTCTTTGTATTCCTTGGTATAAATAGTGTGTTTTGTTAGTTTTGTTGGTAAAGAGAGCGGTTAGCAGATTCATTGAGAGAATTACGTGAGATCGATCATTGAGAGAGAGAGAGTACTCAAGAACATTGTACTTTGACTTCATTTCAATATACATGTCGACATAAACATTTCTGCAAATCTATGTTCTTGATCTTGATCTTTACTGTTATAGACTTGAATCTGGGATCTATAGAGACATTTTAAAAATTAATTTAAGTGTACAAGTGTTGAAAGTTAATATACAATTTCAATCTTGACTAACTAATGTCTTTTATTTGTTAGGTATTTACAAATATGGGCTGAAAATACACAAAGAGTAAAGTGTCTGCTGGTAGATATGTTAGAGGACTGCGCCTCAAGCTTTGGGAATTTTAAAGAGTAGCGGAGCAACAATTGGATACTACAAGGACTATTCTTGCCTTTTCTAACTTCATATATAAATAAGATGGAGTCTGTTCACCTAGCAAACAGTATTCATTTTTCCACATTCTCTAAACAATTTACTCTCAAGAACTCTCTCTCTCTCTCGATTTCTTCTTCATCAAGATTAACCAGATCTGTCTTAGATCTTCTTCATCGCACAATACTGAGTTAGTGTTTCTTGTTATTTTCATTAGAGTTTGTATCATAAATAGTTTGTACAATCTGTTTTAAATCTATGTTTGTGTTTACTGCAAATAGGTTGTTATCTTTCAAGTTAAATGAATCTGTAAATTCTAATATGGTATCAGAGCGGCGATCTCGCTTATGAGTTTGTTCTTCTTTTTTTCTGCCGTCTCTGTTTCGATAAGATGACAGAATCGATTCTTGATCTTGGTACTAGTTTACCATTCTTATCAGAATCGTTCACAATAGCAACCTCATGGATTATTTGATCTCTGTTTTTTTTTACATATGGTTTATTGATCTGTGTCCCTTCATATCCAGATCTATGCATACATTTTTCAGATTTATGCATTCTTACATATAGATTAATGATCTGTGTCCTTACTTTCCAGATCTATGCATTTAAATGTTTTTTTTTATTTTGATCTGTGTCCCTTTATTCCAGATCTGTATTTTTTTTCTGATCTGTGTCCTTATCCAGATCTTGTTGCAATGCATTATATTTCATGAAAGTTCTATTTTCTGTACTGGTTGATCTGTGTCCATATTCCAAATCTCCTTTTTTAATGCATGTTTCTTTGGATCTGTTTTGTTATCACAATATGTGTTCTATTCCAGCTCTTGTAGTTGTTATAAAAATATGCACCGTATGTCTCTATATCGGATATGATCGAGTATAGTGAGTTTTTTTTTTCTTTAGATCTGAATGATCTAGTTAGACTCCTTATTCGTGATCTTCTCTCTTTCTTTGTTTTTCATGACATACATAGCGATATTTTTTTTACCATCAAGATCTGGATCGTGTCAAGTTTACCTTTCTGGTTGATTTTGCTACTCTAACTTTGTTCATCTGTTCAGGTACCTTCTGGGAGCACCTCTCTGATAAGTAGTTTTTTTTCATTTCCTGTTCTATTCAATATTATATCCATTTGCTGGTTGGTTTTATCTGTTGTTATTCTTTAACTTTTTGTTAAAGATCTCTGTGGTAAGTTTTGTCTGCTTCTTTATCTGTTGTGTGTGCCTTTGTTGTTTTTCTCGCTCTTGGTCTGTTCTGTTGGCTTGACCTAGCACTATAAGTGTTTTAGGAATCCTGCCTTTAAGCAGTTCAGTTCCTTGTTTTTGTGTGTGGTGGTTCTCTTATGGACACTCCTCTCGTTGTTGCTAGACCTTCAGGTCCAGTGGAATCCAMGGTCGCTAAATTAGACTTTGGAGACCCACTCTACCTGCATCCTAGCGATACCAGTGGAGCTTCCATTTTATCTTTCAAACTATGTGGGACTGAAAATTATCGTGTGTGGTCCTGTGCTATGATCTTAGCTCTCGAAACTAAGAATAAAGTTGGTTTTATTGATGGTAGTTGTATTCGTCCTGATAATGATCCTATCCTTGAGAAACAATGGGATCGGTGTAATTCTGTGGTTCTATCATGGATACTAAGTTCTATGACAGAAGATTTATTTCTCGGACAATTTTTTTCAAAACTGTCCTCTCAAGTTTGGGAGGAATTAAGGGAAACTTACGATAAGGTTGACGGATCTGTGACTTTTAATCTGTATCAAAAGATAAATTCATTAAGTCAGAATAATATGTCTGTTTCAGAATACTATCATAAACTCAATTCTTATTGGAAACAATTTGATGCTTTGATAAAACTCCCCTCTTGTTCTTGCAATGCATCTCATGATTTTTTACAGCACAGTCAGCTTATTAAACTAATGCAATTCCTCATGGGTCTTGATGATGTTTATCAGCCTATTAGGAGTAATATCTTAACCAGAGATCCCCTCCCATCCATTAAAACCGCTTTCTCTTTGGTATCTAGGGAGGAATCTCATAGGGGGGTCAATTCTACTCAAAATCGCGTTAAAACGCAAAATTCTGCTTTCTTAAGTAAATCTTTTGAAAATAAAAGAAAACCTGTGAGAAATCCCAGTCTTAATTGTAAACATTGTGGCAACACTGGTCATACCATTGAACGGTGTTTCAAATTAATAGGTTTTCCCAAAGACTTTCAAAATCGGYCTCGTCCTCAACCTCAATCTCAAAATTTTAAACCTCAAAGTCAAAATTTTAAATCTTCAGCTGGTAGTGCCTCTGTTTCTGATTCTACCACTYAGAATTCCTCCTTCGTTTTCTCTGAAGAACAGGTAGCTAAAATTCTGAGCCTTATCAATCCCAAAAACACCACTGAAGGAGCATCTGYCAATATGGCAGGTATGTCTCCTAACCCTTGCTATGGATGGATAATAGACTCTGGAGCTAATCAGCATATGACCTCTAGYTCCTCTCTTTTAGAAAATATCGTTGATGTCACTGACCTGGACCTTAGAGTTAGTCATCCGAATGGAACTAAAGCTAAAATTGACAAAATAGGAAACCTGAGGTTATCCAATAATGTGACCCTATTCGATGTTTTAGTTGTCCCTGAGTTCAATGTTAATCTTTTATTTGTTCATAAGCTAACCAAAGATAATAAGGTGTGTATTAAATTTGATGAAACAAAGTGTTATGTTCAGGATTATCTGCAACAGAACACTGTGGGGATTGGTAATCAGAATGGAGGGCTATATTTCTTTGACCAAACTCTTAGCGATAGTGTTCCTCTCTCCTTTAACAAATGTGGTATGACCTGTTTTGTTTCGTCTCTGTTATGGCATAGTAAACTTGGTCATCCTGCTGATCAAGTTCTTTGTGTTTTAAAAGAAAAWTTGAAAATAGGAAATGAAAGAAGTGGTCCTTGTGAAATATGCCATAAGGCAAAACAGACACGTGAGAAATTTACCACTAGTATTCATAGGTCTGAAAGTCTTGGTGAACTCGTTCATCTAGACGTATGGGGACCTTATCACACTCAAAGTAGAGAGGGATATAAATTTTTCTTGACCATTGTGGATG